AGAAAATCTATCAGGTCACATAACAGCTACTCTGACAGACCTGGTTCATAGAAACTGTTAAAGGAATACTTCAACCCCTAAAGGACCATTTGTATCTCAATTACTCACCCGGTCATGATGAATGAATAGAGAAAACTTTGTTTATCTCCTATGCGTCCAGTGAATGAAGAATCCAAAACCGGAGAAAATTCTTGATAAGTTGATGTCATGGGGTCCTTGTTTAACAACAGTTAGACTATACCAAAACATCTGACTCATTTATCCAGCCGTATGCTACTGTAAGCACTTCTAACGTATCTATGCTCCCTTCAAAACCAGACTCCAATGACATGAATGAAATAAATTTTACTTCACTGAACACGGGAGCTGCTGATCTACCACTGCTTTTATCAGTGAGTTAGTATGTGTTATTGTATGACCTTGGTATATCCAAACTAATCCTTCAAAACACCAAAGTCACACAATAACAAAAACAATCTAACTGATTGAGGCAGCTGTGGACCAGTAGCTCCCATGTTCAGTGAGGTAAATTACTGTTTTTGTCAATAAATAAATGGAGTCTGGCTTCAAACAGAGCATAGATAGGTTTTACTTTTCTTTCAGTTTCCTGTCAGAAAGGGCTGTCTGTTTGGGAAGTACTGAGCACATGGCTGAATAATTTGCACGAGTTGTGTGAGAGATTTTTAAACTGATGTTTTGATGTGGATTTGCTGTTGTTAAAAGTGGACTGCCGTGATTTCAATTCATGAAGAATATACTCAGTTTTTGGATTCTTCAGTTAAAGGAGGTATGCAAGAAAAACGTTTTATTCAAGGTAATATGTGGTGAGTAATTAATATTCATACAAATAATAATTTGGGGGTTGAGGCATTTCTTTAGAAACTGGTTTTACACAACATTACTCCTGTTACAGTATTCAAAGTAGTTCATTTTGGGTGACCCTTTGGCTGTTGGCGGACTCCGGTTTCCTCTTAGTCTTCTTAATCTGTAAACACACCACCACCAAGAAAAAAACTGGGGTGTTTTGGACCCTAAAGAATTCTCACCTGAATACTGTCCTCAGGGAGAGGACATGGAACAGTTCACTGTTGTCTTCATCCTGATATCTCACCACTTCTCTCTACTGTCAGCAGAGATCCTATAGCCAGTAACTCCTCTATTCCTCTATAATCTATCTCTGTGTCTCTATCCCTGCCCTAGTGGTGCAGTCCAACATAGCTGGAGGACAAAAGCTGATGTACAACAGCATATGGACAAAATATTTGATGTGATATAACATCGCTGTTGGAATCCCCCGCTCAGGCCTACACAACAACCCAACTGATCACTAGCTACATCCGCTAACCACAGACATCAGCTGTTCTCCAGTTCCAGTTGGTTACATTGGATAAATTGTTGGAGCTTTAGAAAACTTTTGGTGGTCTTTTATTTGCATGAAGACAAACAGAGCAGAATGTCTTCAGACCAGAATTTGTTTGGTGTAGGAGTTGCAGTTTTCAGGAATGCGTTCTTTTTTATCCCACCCTGTGCCCCAGTACACCACACATGTACTAAAGAAGCTTGTCCACAATGTGACTAAACTGCCGATGTACTGGGCAGGACGCACTTGACTGCAATCTGACCGTGGCGCTTGGTTCACATGTCCGCAGTGTTATCTTGTGCACACAGAGCAGCAACTCACCAAAGACTTGTGGAAGTTAAAAGGTGAAAACAAATGCTCAGTATATTAAAGTACTCACAGCAGCTAATTCTGAGGACTGATGGGACAGACATCTGAAACCTGATGCATCACTAATAACATGCTGAAGTCGTGACTTTAATGAGACTACTATATTAGTAGCAATTTTTTTCTTTTAGTTTTTCCAGTCCATTAATTTTGTCCTGATATGGTTCCACGATGCATCACCTAGTAATCTTTATAAACTAAAAGTTTTATTCTATTGTAGTTACACCCTATGATTTCAAAATAGCCTACCTTTTTGTAAAAGGCCTCATCAGTTCTTTAAATGATATCCTATGGTTCTGTGACCACAAATACATGCACGGGTTTAGTTTCAGTTTACACATGTATGTTTTAGCCTATAATAAAATGTTTATTGATATATAAAAGAATCTGTACATTTAACAAGACATTATTAAACAATTACAACTATGTTTTCAAGTTAAAATCAAAATACATTAAGAACAGCCTCACATTTCAACTCTTCTTGGCTTTGGGGAGTGGCCTCTGCCTCATAGATGTTAGGAAAATATTTCACACAAAAAAAAAAAAGGAAAAAAAAGAAAAACATCGTTTTGGTTTGTTTTTGTAATCTTCACTTTAACTTTACCCAATTTCCGAATGGCCAATTTCTATCAGGCTCCAAATAAAATAAACAAAGAAGTATTCATGTCAGCAGTGAAAAAATAGTTTTGTTAAAACCCACAGAACCACATCACAGTTTGGTCTATTTATGTTGTATATACACATTCTGTGAGTGTGTGTACTTTATACTCTATATGTACAACATGAGTATAGGCTAAGAGATGTTTCTTCTTAAACCATGTATCTGTGTCTGTTGAACAGATTTATTTGTTGAGCTAAAAGCAATATAGTCAGCCAGCATTAAAGGCAGTAAACATTAATGGGGGAACTCAGCACTGATCTTTGTCATTTCATGGAATGAGTGTTGCATGTAATTGTCCTCCTCATAATACAATTCATATTGTCATCAGTTCTGTTTGTGTAGTCCAGTTTTGTGAATGGGTGCATCCTTAATGTGCAAATGTCTGAAGAGAAATGGAGCATTGGTTACAAGTGATTACCTAAAGGGGGACTGCATAGCTCATTTAATTTGAGATTTAAAAAAAAAAAGAGAGAGTTACGATGCTGCAATGGGTAGTGAATACAAAACATGGTGTGTAAAACATTGAAAATACCTTCATTTGTTTACCTGGACCATATTAATGAGTTATATGATACTGCTTAGAAATATGCTGTAAACTTGGTTTCATGTCAACAGTTTTTGGGTGGCATTTAGAGAACCAGGCTGTACACACAGTGTCCTAAATGAACCAATTGAACTGGCTTTAGCAATGCATGCTAATCAAATCAGTAAATTCAAAGGTCAATGGGATGCACAGTAGCATATCTACTCCAGCTCTGATCCCCGGCACAGACCACACATTACGGCCATTCAGTACCTTTTTTTTTAATAAAATATGAAAAAAATCCAATGTCCATTTTCTATCGTTGTTTAATTGTATTGGGTGTATTACACTGAATATATTACTGTGTTTTACCATTGTGTTTTAATTATTTTAATGAAGTCATAAGATGTCTTAATCACATTGAGTGAAGTGAAATTTGAAGCTAAAACTAACTAACATTGTAATTAGAGAGTTATGCGGCCAATTGACAGCAAGAGAACAGTAGCTTATTAGTCCTGTGGGGAACCATGACAACTGCTCTGAAATAAGTGAAGTCCCACTGATTAACTGAGTTACAATAAAGAGTGCACCGGGACTAACATAAATGTTAGTCCCGGTGCACTGAGATGGACCTGTCATTGTCATTCACGTGAATGTCTTGAGAGATTTCTTCTTTTTTTTCAGATTTTGCACAAAGATGCAATTGACCTCAAGGCTGAACTAAATAGATAGATTTTAGGGGTCAAAGGTCAAGGTCACCATAACTTTGCATCTGTCTCATTACCGTGAACATGATATCTCAAGTACACCTTGAGGGATTTTTTTTTTTTTCAAATTTGGCACAAACTTCTACTTAGACTCAAGAATGAGCTGATTAGATTTTGGTGCTCGAAGGTCAAAGGTCAAGGTCACTGTGACCTCACAATTACTTCCCTAATTATGACAAAATTTCACAATAAAATGTCTAATAGGATGAAATGATAAAGCGATCACATTTTAAATCCAAAAGGTCAAAGGTCAGTGTCACTGTGACATCATACTGTTTTTCAAAAATGCTTCTCTGGCCATTGATCAGCATCATAACTCAGGAACAGAAGGGGAGACATTTGGTGAGATACTGACTTGGTGACACTAATCCTTGGTGCCCACCTTGAAACTGTGGTGACTGTGACTGCACTGCCAGGGGGAAGATTTATTCTAAGCATCCACGTGTTTGCAACTTGACCAGTTTGCAGAGGCACACAACCATGAAGTGGTAATTTTAGGGTTTATTTGTTTATTTTTATGTTTAGCATCTGTCAGAGTGGTGCTAATTGATTTTATGGTTAAAAAAGTAGAGACCAGTACCTCAAATTATGCAACAGAATATGATTTTGAAGTGTTTTTTTTAAAGGTTTTTAAAAAATAAATAAATAAATAAATAAATAAATAAAAATTAGTTACGTGACCAGTGTTGTAGACTAGTTGCCTAGCTTTCTATAAAATGCTTATTGCTGGTTGATTCTATTCTATTCATCACAACCCTACCAGGCCCAAGGATTAAAAAGCTAAACTGTCCTCATAAACAGTAAAACTATGGAAATATTTGATGTTAAACTACACTGAGGTGGGTAATATGTGAATTTTCCTCAATGAAAGCCTGTCTTGTCATATACACTAATGATCTTTACGTCCAAGTCACCATGACTGAGTTAAATTTCACTGAAAAAGGATATCTTCTGACCCTTGATTCAAGGCTAGGGACAGGGTACACTTAATCAAGAACCCAGACAAACACACATGCACACACAGGCATACAGATCAAGTTGGTCCAGTCAGAGATGAAATTATGTCTTACTCCAAATCAGTCTGATGCCTGTCTAATGAGCAGTGTGGCAAAGATACATGATGAAGAAAATCAATCATGTATAACACCACGGCGAGCCAGAGAATTGTCAAATTTGTCAGCTAATTTCATGCTAATTGAGTCCCCCAACCCGGGGTTATTTTTAACCTCATCGCTGTTCTGATCACATGGAATAGTGAGCCCTTAGCTCACGTGTCATTAATTAAGCTAAAAACATCAATCATGATTTTCTTTCTCCCCTCAGTACCCGCCAGGATCACTAACATATCAAAGGACGTCACGGTGAACGAGGGCAGCAACGTCAATCTAATGTGTCTGGCTGTTGGTCGTCCTGAGGCCAATATCATCTGGAAGCATCATTCGCCAAGAGGTAAGCCACAAGGTGTTTATTTATTATTATTTTTTTATCTTGATTTTTTGTATTTCTGGGTCTTAAAAGCTGTCTTTCAGATAAAATGTATTTAATAGAGAAGAGTGTCCCATCCAAAGAAAGTCTGGTGTTTTGGTTTGTACAGGCAAGGGTGTAGGTTTCTTTTTAACATTAAGGGGACACATACAGAATGGAGGGTTTAGGGGTCCTCCACTGGAAGATTTTGAGCATCAAACACTTTTCTGCATTCTGGGGGCTTTTAATGCACTACTTTGTGCCTTTTCTGCATTGATGTACACGGAACTATTGCACATGTTTTAAATATTGAGAGGGCATGTCCCCTGCACCCTGCTGTCCCCTCCAAAATCTACTCCTGTGTATACAGATAGAAGATTAGGATGAAGAGCAAAATCCAGTTGTAAACTGGAGATTTGTATGTGCCCTTGGTTAGAGGAAACAGGATTACTTAGCAAAGTGAAAACAGTCTTTGGTTACTGTTACAAAGTGTGCAGCTTGAATGCAGTCGATGGGGAAGGTAGAGGATCAGATGTTAAGATCTATTTTCAAATTTTTAACAAATATGCCATGTCATCTATTTATTAAATCCTTGTCTCAGCTCAGTAACTCTGTAATGTGGATTTTGTCAGAAAGTTTTCATCATTTTCTTTTCCAACTGTCAAAGGTAATTCAGAAATTGCACAAAACAAATGTGTCAGGCAAAGCTGCAACAGCTTTACCTCAGAGTAAAGGTGACTGAACCAGCCCTCCTACGCACGCGGGCTGATGTCGACATTCCCACATAACACGCACCTCCGACACTTGCTTCACATGTATTTTTCGCCTACGTGCTGAACAGCCATTTACTTCCAGCAGGATATCAATCTGTAGCTTTTGTGTTAACATAGCCACAAGAGAATTTATGATGAATAATGCCTGGCTTTAATCTATTGACTAAGGCCTTGTTTTCTTTTCAACTTGGTGGACTGGAGGGGTTGAAACTGCACAACCTGTGGCCTGACAGGACCCAACTCCAATCAACCATGATTTGGCTGGAGGCCACAGCTGCTTTGGTCGGTTCTGTTGTGCTGGCACCTCACAGCCTGCAGGAGAGCCAAGAAGCTCTGTGCGCCTGTATGTGTGAGCACGCATGTGTGTTCTGTGTTCTAATTGTGTCGGCTCCACGCTTCCCACTGAGCATTCAGCAGTGTGAGTCATGCACTGCTTCTCTATAGGATCAGATGTTCAGCCTCCAACATGACATGAATGCTTACGGCCCAGCTGTTCCTCTCTTACTCCCCATTATCTAGAGCCAGCAGAATCTAGTTCTCTCAGCTCAGTGGCTCTCAACCGCCTCAGCCATCCACAACATTTCAGCCCTCCGTTTATTGGTTCCCCAATATTTACTCTGAATATCATGATTTCCCCACAACCCATTTGTTTGAAGTGTGAATTGTAATCACATTCAAAAGGGACAACTTTAATGACTGACACAAAACCACCAGCCAGATGGTCCCATTTACTCTGACTGCATACTTAGTAACCTCCCTCTGGGGTCTGAGTTCAATTTTATGTTTTTGATATACATAGTATTTGGCACTTGTTTAACACTTAAAAGCTAATATTACCCCCCTATAATACTGTTATATTTCTCTCCAATACAAGTAACTGCAAGCAATGAATGTGTCACCAATAGAGGATGACAAAAGTCAGGTTATGTAATGCCTTTGTAATGCTGTTACTCTCTTGTATAGTGCAAGCTCAGCTTGTTCAGTGTATGCTCAGATTTTGGTCACAAAGTAAGAAAAGAAGAGAAACTGGAGAATAGACATTCTGAAATAAAGAAAAGACACAAACATACTTAATAATTATATTACAGACTTTGTCCCATTGTCATTTTTATGCCTCTACGCCAGCAATAGCCACAGCTGGAGGCATTATGGTTACTGGATGTCTGTTTGTCTGTCGGCTGTCCATTCTCATTAATGCGATATCTCAAGAATGCTTGAGGAAATTTCTTCAAATTTGGCATAAATGTACACTTGGACTTAACAATGAATTAAATCGATTTTGGTGGTTGTGCATCAAAGATCAATGTCACTGTGACCTTGTCTGTCTTATTCTCATGAATGCAATATCTCAATAAATACTGATTTATTTATTTATTCAAATTTCAAACATCCACTTGGACTCAGTGATGAATTGATTAGAAGTTGGTGGTCAAAGGTCAGGGTCACTGTGACCTCACAAAACTTGTTTTTGACCATAACTCAAGAATTCACATGCTAATTATGACAGTATTTCACAAAAAATGTCTAATAGGATAAAACGATGAAGAGCTGACATTGTATATCTTAAAGGTCAAAGGTCAACTTAAATGTGACGTCAGAATGTTCTGCAACACTTTTATGGCCATTATTCAACATCATACCTCAGAAGCAGAAGGGGAGACATTTAGTCAGATACTTAATTTGTGTCCACCTTGAAACTGTGATGATTGTATAGATTGTCTGTGCTGCTGGGGGAAGATGTGTATAAAGTATTCATGTTTTCATAGACATGCATATAAACTGTAACTGCTTGACTGGTTTGTGGAGACAAACGACTGTGATAATTCTATTTTCTGTTTTACAGGATAAAAGTACTTTAAAATGTGTCAATAGGTTGTCATGTAGGTTGAAAATGCCTAAAAAAAGAAAGTCACTCCTGACTGCTAACCCTGAGTTAAGGCACAGCAACAATAGCATTGGCACATCAGGCAATAGAATAGCACTTGAATAGTAATATACAGGCATCCATTGCCAGGGAGCCTGGTATGATGCATTTATGTATGTGTGTACGTGTTACTCCCAACTGGGAAGATAATGGGTTATCTTCATTGACATTTGTCTGAGTTGCACTAATGAAAAGAGAGACTATGTGGGGAGATGTTTGGGCAGCCAAAGAAATTCTCACTGGCAGTCAGAATCTTAAATGTTTTTCCTGCAGAGTGGCATTTTCCTGACTTGCTCCTCACCGTTTGCTTTTCATGTTTGTCACCAGCGATAATGGACTGTTCCCTCAGAGGATAGTGTTTGTGTCTGTTAGTACAGCACTAAAGGGAGCAGTCTTCTCCCTGAGTTAAACTGCATTTCTAGAAAAAGTCTCAAATCTGCAATGTAACTGCCTTGCCATGTCATAGTTGTTGTTTTTTTTCCATGGCGTTTCATTTCAAATTTTCACACTCACATGGTGTCAGGAGCATGAGCAAATGTAGTGTAGCAGCTGATGATGCAGAAAGATGCCTCACCTTTCACTATCAAAATGACAAGTGACATGAGAAAATTGGCTTTAGCGAACATGGAAGAAATATGGAAATACAGAGACAATATCAGATAGTCACACTGCCTAATTTAAGCCTGAAGCTTGTTAACAAAATCTAAATGGAGTTACTTTCAGATTTCACGTCATCATTTAATATGAATCTTGTTTCCACTGCACTGTTGAATGAAGGGAGACTCTGAAGCCTCAACAGTACATGCCAATAAATCCTCCAACACAGATGGTGACAAATGTAAGAGTTGTGCGGAGAGTAGCAGCCCATAAATGCGTAGCCTCTCTGGTCGTTTACTTAATGTCAATTTAAGTCTCACCTTTATTTTGTGCACTGCGAGACTTAGTCCCCATTTCAACTCAGTGGGGACTACATAAATTATTCAGCAGTGTCCACTGAATCTCTGGCTGCTGGCCACTAAAAGGATTAGAAGATATATGGTGTGGGAAAACAGTTTATTCAGGGGACAATGCATTATGGATCCCTTCGACCCATTACGACTCATTAAAGCGGATAGGTTGTGAATGTACGATCTCTCAGATGTCAGTTTGTGCCTTCCCTTAACACAATACTGCAGATTAAAAGATGGCGGTAATGTGTGCTGTCCTTTAGAAGTGCTGTGACTGAGTGTTATTGTTACGTGACACCCATGTAACTCCAGTTGTAGTGATTTTTATTGTTTCATGTTAAAGGTCCAGTGTGTAGGATTTAGGGAGCTATACTGGCAGAAATATAGAGTATAAAATATAATAAGTGTGTTTTCTTTAGTGTATTATTACCTGAACATAGGAATTGTTGTGTTTTTGTTATTTTAGACTGAGGCTTTATATCTAGGGCAAAGTACCCCCGATTTCCTAAATTGATTTGATTTTGATTCACAAGGTCATGATTCAATTTAATTTGATTTCCTATTTGATTTGATATTGATTCCATTGAGGATATTTTAGTTACAATACCAGTTTTTTCTAGAATGTAAAAGAGATTCGAAGAGCACTGTAAATTTTACAAGAAATTATTTAATAAAAAAGAATAAATTTTGAACAGGATTAAAACTGAATATTATTCAAACTTTATACATTTTCTACATGTTTCCATGTTTGAACGGGTGTATTGATTAAGTATTGACTTTTTCTTGTGGAGGTTTTATTGCACTTACAACATCAAGCATAGTTGTCGTCAGCTCAAGCTGTCTTGACTTGTCTGTCTCCACCACAGCATCCCTACTCCATATTTGTATCTCTGTGTGTGTGTGCGTAAAAGTGGCACAAAAGTACAAAAGTAGCCCTGACGCACAGACAGCAGGAGGAGAGGCTGCTGCAGCATGATAATAAGACTACAGTCCTAAATAATTTAGCACCGGGGCCCGTTTACTACCAGCGAGATTAAGAGGGTTAAAGCTTTACACATCCATGGGAAAAAGCATATATTAAGAGACAGATCTTGAATTTTATGAATTGATATTGGGTCGTTCAAATTGGATGAATCGATTATTTTAACCCAGCCCTATTCATATCTACAGAGGGAGCAGGCCCTCATCTCTGGAGATCATCATGTTGCATCTCCATGTTTCTACAGTTGCCCAGAATGGACTTACCAAACTCTCGCTGTTGATAGGGCCATTCGCATTGGCTACCGACATTTGCAGCCCCTCTGCAATGAATGTGTCAGTAAAACACTAATTTTTTTAGTT